CGTGGTCATCTCGGCGACGAAGTCAGCCAAAGCTTGAGCCTTGATGGCGTGCCTGCTCTCGTATGTGATGTCGAACTCGGAGAGCTCTAGCGACCATTTCAGCATGCGCCCAGCCATGTCGGGGCGGCCGAGTAGCTGGCGGATGGGTTGGTCGGTGCGGAGCACTATGGTGTGCGCTAGAAAATAATGTCGGAGTCGGCGTGCCGCTGTTACGAGGGCCAGGGCGACTTTCTCGATCAGCTGGTATCGGGCCTCCGGGCCGTGGAGGGCTTTACTAGTAAAGTAAATGGGCTGTTGTCCTTCCCCGGCTTCGCTCACGAGGACTGCGCTGACGGCTTCGTTAGAGACGGCCAGATATAAATACAGGGTTTCGTCCGCCGCGGGGCGCGTCAGTACTGGTGGTTCGGAGAGGACGCGTTTGAGGTGGCGAAGGGCTTTCTCACATTCGTCCGTCCATTCGAACTTGGTCTCTTTCTTGAGCAGCTTGAAGAACGGGAGGGCGTGTTGGGCCGATCTCGCGATGAATCGCGAGAGGGAGGCTAGCACGCCGTTGAGGGACTGGATGGCACGCTTCGTGGTCGGCGTGGTTATATTGGAGAAGGCGTGGCATTTGTCCGGATTGGCTTCGATCCCCCGTTCGGTCAAGTAGTAGCCGAGGAATTTACCGGCGCAGACGCCGAAAGTGCATTTCTCCGGGTTGAAACGCATGCGACATGATCTCGCGGTCTTGAAGACCTTCTGGAGGTGTGCTGCGTGGTCGTCTTCCGCGGCGGATTTGACGATCATGTCGTCCATATATACTTCGAGCATGTCCCCGATCTCGTCGCGGAAGACGTGGTTCATCATCCGTTGGTACGTGGCCCCGGCGTTTTTGAGGCCGAAGGGCATCACGTTGTAATAGTAATTGCCCGATGCTGTCATGAAGGCCGTGGCCTGTTTGTCGTGTTCGGCCATCGGGATCGGGTTGTATCCCGAGTATGCGTCCATGAAGGACAAGAGTTTGAAGCCCGCCGAGTTGTCGACGAGCTTGTCGATATTGGGGAGGGGGTAGGCGTCCTTAGGACATGCCCGGTTGAGGTCAGTGTAGTCAACGCACATGCGCCATTTTCCATTATTCTTTTTAACAAGTACAACGTTGGACAGCCAGGTGGAATACCGGGCTTCCGAAATAAAATTTGCCTCTAAGAGGTCTTTTACAGCTTGTTCGGCTGCTGCCGATTTTTCGGGGGACTGGCGGCGTCGGCGTTGTACCACGGCCTTCGCGGTCGGGCTGATGGACAGCTGGTGGCAGGCGACCTCAGGGTCGAGTCCCGGCATTTCCGCGGCGCTCCAGGCGAAGAGGTCGCGTTCTCGCGGAGGCAGGCTTGGAGCTGTCGTTTCGCGAGGTCGGGGAGTCCTGCGCCTACCCTCACGGTTCTGGTCGTGTCGTCCCCGAGGGGAATGAGCTCGAATTCGCCATCCGGGATGGGGCGCGCTGGATGCGGGGGCTTCTCGTTGGCTTCGTCAGTCTTTTTCTTGTCGAGCTCGTCGGTGAAGCGACTGTCGAGCTCAACTGATCCGACCAGCTCTGTTGGTTTGTCCTTTGGCGTGGCGCTTGGCGCTTTCTTCTTGGTCGGTGGAGCGATGGAGTCGAGGCCTTTCAGCGCGGCTTCGAAACACCTTCGGGCAGCCTCGATGTCGCCGTTGAGGGTGACCACGGCTCCCCTTCTCGTGTAATATTTCATCTTCAGGTGGACGGTGGAGGGTACCGCGGTGAGTTCTGCTATCGTCGTCCTGCCCAGGATGCAGTTATATAGGGACGGGCATTCGATGACTAGGAAGCGGACGTTGATGTCTCTGGCTGTTTCCTCTTCCCCAAAGGTGACTTTCAGTTCCACGTATCCCCAGGGTCTCGTCGTCGTCCCGTTGAACCCCTGGAGGTCGGAGCCCACGTAGGGGGAGAGGTTGGATTCGTTGAGCTGGAGAGTTGTGAACAAATGTGAGTACATTATGTCAACCGAGCTCCCTCCGTCGACGAGGAGGCGCCTGACGTTGAAGTTTGCCATTCGTGCACGTATGAGCAAGGGTATGTTGGAATTGGGAGATCCCCCGGGTAGTTCCTCGAGGTAGAATGTGATCGGGTTGGAGCGGCCTCGGAATCTGTCGAGCGTGCTCATCTTGCCGGAGTTGCCCGCGATGAGTTCGTCGAATTTCCTTTTCACAGACCCTATGGACAGACTCCTCGTAGCTCCATTGGAGATGACCATGGCTCTGGGGAAGTATTCCCATCGGCTGGTCGGTCGGATTGGCTCGTCGACTAAGCTGGGTGCTTCGGGGATGCCGAATCCTCTGTTTGCGAACCAATCCTCGGGGCGGCTGACGCACAGCGCGACCTGGAGTCTCTCGCCGTCCTCTGGGGAGGGGAGCTCCTCGATTTTCTTTGCCTCCGGAGCCTCCGACCTGGGTGGTTCACCTCCCCGGGTGTATCGCTTTAGGTGCCCGTCTTTGATTAGGATTTCGATCGCGTCTTTGAGATGGATGCAGTCTTCCGTTACATGCCCGTGGGTCCTGTGGAACCGGCAGTACTTTGACTTGTCCACGTTGGGTTTGGGCGGCGTTGGTCGTGGAAAACGGACACCTCCCTGCACAAACTCGGTTTTAGCGCATTCGGCCAGTATGCGTTCGCGTGAAGCGACCAAGGCGGTGTACTCGGTGAACCTTCCTGCCGGGCCGCGTGACTCGCGCTGTTCGCGGGGTTCGCGGTGGCGGTCATCCCGACGGCGGTCCCCTCCTCGTCGGTGGCTCGAAGCTCCGTCGTCTCGGTGCCCGCGGGGGGCTTCTCTGTCTCGGGTGTCGCGAGCGGAGTTGGCCGCTTGTGTTTCCTCGAACCGGATGTAATGGGCGGCCCTGTCGAGGAAGTCTTGGAGGGATGTGGGCCGGTGTATGCCTACGGCCTCGTAGAATTTGGAGTCATGGCGCAGGCCTTGCTCCATTAAGTAGCGTTTCATTTCGTCGGAAGTCGTCACCTGTACGGCTTCCCGAGTAAACCTTTCGATGTATTTCCGGAGGGGTTCGTCGGGGCCTTGGATGATCGCCCCGAGGACTGCTTCCGTCTTCGGATGACGCCGGGACGCTGTGAAGTGTTTGGAGAATAGGTCCTTCAAGACCCTCCACGATGTAACTGATTCGGGCTCCAGGCTTTTGTACCAGGTCATAGCGCCTTTCCTCAGAGTCGTCGGGAAGAGTCTGCATTTAATAGCTCCCCGGACATTTCGGTAGTCGAGCATAGCCTCGATGTCTTCCAGATGATCGTCCGGGTCGGAGGTGCCGTCGTACGTTGACAGCGTCGGTGGCTTCTCCATTCCTTGGGGTATGGGGGCTGCCATGATCTCCCGGGATAGTGGGGTGCGGTAGTCATCCTCGTCGCTGTGCGCCGGGGATCTCAGGGGAGATGAGCCGTTCGCGGTGTGTCCCGGGTTTCGGGTCCTCGATCTCCGGCCTGAGTTCCCACCTCGGGGTTCCTCGGTTGGGGTCGCCGCGGCGTTCTGGTTCCTCCCGCGACCGTGCCTTGCCGGGGATCTGGTGCGCTCCCGTGTCGCTTGCGGTCGGCGTCTCTCCAGCCGCGGTCGGCGGTTCCTGAGTCGAGGTGAGGGGCTCCTCGAACCTCCGTTCTGGTCTTCCCGCTGGGGGTACCTCGGGGAGCCGCCGCGTTCTAATGCTCCAATTCTAGCGTTCTGTTGGGACAGCAGCTGGTTCGTCTGGTTGATGGCTGCAAAGAGAGCGGCTACCGTTGGGTCTGCTCCCGCCGGGATGGGAACGGGGTGGAATGCTGGCGGGCTCGGGGGGAGGTGGTCGGCGTGTAGGGGCCGTTCCTCGGACGATGGTGAGGCAGTTTTCCCGTCCCTTTCGTCGGCTTCATTCAGGCGTGCCGTTCCCACCTGCTTCCCGTTGGTGGTAGTGTTGAGCGTGAGATCGTGCGGAGTGTCATCGCGGCGTGGGCTGGCCATGACCGTGGAGGTTTGGTGAAACTTTTGGTTTTTCTGCTCGGAGTAACGGGGAAGTTTCAGTTTCCCACAGACGGCGCCACTGATCTGACCTGATCAGGAGGGGATCACGGGATGGCCACGCTCCGTTAGGCCGCTTCCTGTTCACCGGTGTTGAGGATGAGGAGGGGGTGTACCTGCAAAGCACTCCGACGCCCAAGTAAGAAGTTGGACAGAGAGGAAGCAATAGTACAGAAAAGGGGGCAAGAAGAGTTACCTGACCCTCTTGAAGAAGAGGGTATTTATAGAGAGACCCCAGCGCTGGGCCAACGGTCATTCGAGGTGGGCCAGACGACCAGGCCCAACCCTAATGACTGCTAGGGCTTACGTGGCGTAGTGAAGACCAGGACGTGGTCTTCGCCCTAGTTCAACCGCTCCTAGGTCTCCGGAAAGTGGGTTTGACCTGCTCTTTCGGAGGTGGGCGATTGGCCGATGACGTGTCCCCGCGGAGGGGAGCACGTGGAGAACGTGCGCCGAGCACGTTATTCTCCCGCGGAGGGAGCCCGGGTAGTCTTGCTCGTCCGGTGTGACGGGCGACAAAGGGGATGCGGTGTGATGGCTTGTGCCCGGCGGACGGTCCTGCTCGTCCGAAGGGGCGTGTGCCAGGTGTGCTCAGTTCGCCTGTTGGGCCGTATTTGGTATTGGGCCTGCCGAGGTGAGGCCCACACCGGAACAGTGATGATCCAAAGAAGGATCCGTTGAAGGATGAATGAATTAAATATGCGGGAGAGCGATGGAGGGGTTTTAAGACATAACTCACAAAAGAACATATTAGAAATCCCAAAGAAGGTCATACTCCTGTACATGTCAAGTATAATTATATTAAAGAAGAAACATGGAAAAAGTTTCTGAAGTCACGAGATACCCCTGAATTTAAGGTTAGTAAGAATTATATTAATTTTTTCATGCATAAATTTTTTATTATGTTTAGTGATTAATAACTTTTTGAGTTTATAATAGAAAAAAAGTCAAAAGGGTATGGAAAATGTGGCTAGAAATGTATACCTACACATATTATCTCGTGGAGGGTATCGCTTGCTTGAGGAAAAAGTGAAAAGTGAAAGGAATTCATCGAGAGATGATTCCACAATAGATGATAATGGTAGTACATCTCCACCGTCACGCCATGAAATATGGAAGAGAGCACGACAAAAGAAAGAGGGAGAATACACATCACATTCTACACAAGTTGCTGAGAAAATTGTAAGTAAAATGTAGAAAATACTTTAAGTATTATTATAGTTGTGATTGATAAAAACTATTGAAATTAGTTTTGTTTTTTGAATTTTGTAGGATTCTCTAGTTGAGGAAGCTGAAAAGGGTGTCTTTGTTCCGGGTGGACCTAACGATATCTTAACAGTAGCCATTGGAACATCTGAGCATGGCGGTCGTGGTGTTGGAAAACACCATAAAATTAGCACTTTTTTGGAAGGCCGTCTCCACGTCGACGACAACATATGAATGTATAAAAACAACTAGCGCAATTTTCTTTGGAATTAGAAGCAAAACTTAGAGCTGATTTTGAGCAAAAGTTGGTTGAAGAGCGTAAGGTGTTGCAACAATCTTTTATGGAGACAATTAGGTCTATGGGTCTCTCGCAAAACACAAAAAATAAAAAATACATTGAACAAATGGAGGTTGTCGAGGGAAGCGGAAAAGGAAGTTGTTCAGCTGCAAAAGGAAGCATAAAAGAAGTGGAAGACGATGCTCAAAGATTGTTACTCGTGGTTCTAAAAATGGGCGACACACTTGGAAATAAAATTAAGTCATTGTGCGAGTGTCACTAATTTTTATATGTCAGCTAAGTGTATCAGAGAGTTGTTGGTGGATTTTCATTGGCTTGACGTGTCTATTCTGCAAGTTTGGTCCATGTAAGTACATTTTATTTTTTAAATTATTACTGTTAATACCTATTAATATGTTATATCTCTCATCACTTTGATTCTAATGTTTATTTTAAAATTATTCAGGTATATTCATCGTGTATGTATTGATAAATCCACATCATAAGTATATGGATTTATGGACCCTGCTAGGTGTGTGTATGTTGATAATGTGCAAAAAACTGAAACAGAGGTTAAAAAATACATACAAGATAAGTTACGTGACGAAAAAATAGTGTGTCACTTACTACCATTTATTCATGGGTAAGTTTGTATGAAAATGTGTGTTCTATTTTTTATTTTTGATAACATATATATTTTATGTAACTTTTGTGTTTTCATGCACACGTACAGAGACCATTGACAATTAATAGTCATTTGTTCAAGAGACAATATTGTGGTCGTCTTTTGTTCACTTCATCAGGAACTTAATCCAACCATGAAGAAAATTGTTACAAAGTAAGTTTATATTTTATCTGACTTTTGTTATAATATATGCTATATCCCATATACATAAAATTTTACAAAAGTAATTTAATATTTTATGTTGCTCTATATGATTTTTTCCCCTGAATTAGTGCTTTCGGGATTTATCAAATGGCAAATGACAATAGAAAAAAGGCTACATGACTCCAACCCAAAGTAATCGTGATGTAAATTATAATTATATACTTAATTTTATCATAAGTATTCACTAACTGTGTCATTCATTTTAGACAAGGCTACAACATAACTTTATTGATTGTGGGTACTATGTTATGAAAAATATGTTGGATATTGTCTCTGCCAACATAACTGAGTCTTGGTTGCAGGTAAATAAAAATAACTTTACTTTATTATTTACTTTGCGTTTTGCAACTTAAGGTGAATTTTCAAAGAACAACTTTATATTGTTATTTACGTATTGTAGGTATTTGATGACTCAACAGAATTAACACAAAATGATTTGTATGATTTGCGACTCCGTTGGACAAAATGTTTCTTTGAGTTATATAAAAATTAAGCTGTGAGTTATATAGAATTATATATATATATATATATATATATATATATATATATATATATATATATATATATATATATATATATATATATATATATATATATATATATATATATATATATATATATATATATATATATATATATATATATATATATATATATATATATATATATATATATATATATATATATATATATATATATATATATATATATATATATATATATAAATTGAGTTTCTTAACTTTGGTATTGTCTGCTGATGTTTATTGGTATTATTATTTATTGTCAGCAAATGTGATTTTGGTGTTGTCTACCGAAGGTAGCTACAACTCATTTCTTGTGGATTGCACGTTGGTATTCAAGTGTGGTAAATGACTTATAAATGGTTGAATATTTTTGTTTGTTTTCACTGGTTTTATTGTTGTATTAGTCCACCGTGTAAAAATACATATAATTTTGTATACTTGTGTGTATACTAGTTTATGACTTTTGTAAATCAATTTGTTAATGTTGAAGAATATGTGTATTCTATCTATTTGATGCAATGAAACTAAAAGGTTAGTTGAAAAAAATATGAAAATTAAATTGCATACCAAATAGGGACTAAAATGTGGTATGTCTGATGTTGGAAAAATATAAAAAATTAGGTACCAAAAAAACTATAGGGGTTCCACATCAATTCGGATAAAAATTAGCAAAATTTTTAAGAAAAACAATTTTACATCGGTTGCGCCTAGAAACCGATGTAAAAACATAATTTTTGAAGACACATACGTAGCACACCTTTTACATCGGACAAAAAGGGCAACTGATGTAAAAAAACACACCTATGACACCTTTTACATCGGTTATGTTGAACAACCGATGTAAAAAATATACCTGTGACACATTTTACATCAGTTCTGCTGAACAATCGATGTAAAAAACACCTGTGACACATTTTACATCGGTTCTGAATACCAACCGATATAAAAAGTGTTTTTTTTTAAAAACAAATAATAAATTCATATTTCACATCAGTCTTAACTGTCAATCGATGTAATAGATGTATTTTTTACATCGGTCTACGACCCGATGTAAAATGTGATTTTGACCCGGTCTAAAAAGTCATTTCTGCACTAGCGAAAAAAAATTTTCATTGTATTTTTAAAAATAATTTTTATAAAAACGTTTTTTAAATTCATTTTTTAATAAATTTAAAGAATAATTTTAACACTCTATAACATAAATATACATTATTATAAAGATCAAAACATAGCCAAAATCATAATATTTTTAAAAAAGTTGTATTTTAAAAATGATTTTTATGAAAAACTATTTGAAATAACTTTAAAATTAAATAATTTTTTAAGAAAATTTTAATATTTAATTTTTTTTAATAAAATGATAAAATATCTAAAATGATATTTTAAAAATAATTATTTAAACTAAAAATTTTATTCAACTTTTATTAAAAAATATTTGTAAATTGCTTTTAATAAAAATATATAAAATTATAAAAATCATTTTAAAAAACTGAAAAAACAGTCCTTAAAACTTCTTTCATAGAGGACACTTCTATTTATTTTATATATACATAATTTTTTTACATCATAGAGCGAATCTATGCCCTTTACCACTAAAACATGAATGGATATAGAGGAAGTAAAAGGAAACTACTTCCTTTTTTAGTGAGGAATAGAAGCATCTTATAGGTGATCATGGTTATGGCTTAGTTTGTTCTTATTCTTGTCTTAAAATCAAGGACTATAGATTTTTTAAATCATAGTTCTTAGATTCTCATGTAAAAAAACTACTTTAATCATCATTTAAACTTCGATTTAAATCATAATTCTTAGATTCTTAAGTAAAAAAACTACTTTAATAATTTAGATTCCATCGAAGATAAATAAAATTTACAAATAATAGTTTTTACTAAAAATAATTTTCTCATATATTTTATCAATACGAATTTAATTGAAAATTATATATACATATAAAAATATGAAAGCTGTCTTTTAATATGTTATTATGTACAAGACATCATACATGGTCTAAATTTTACAAGAGTTAAACACTGATTAAATAAAATCTTATAAGAATATTATTATGATGCGTTTGATTTATTAAAAATTGAAAGATTGAACATGACAATTTTATTTATGTTTGATTTAGAAACTTATCATAGGACATAATAAAATTTATAACAAAAAATAAAAATTCTTGTCTCTCATCAAATTATCAGACAATTTTTTATCCCAAATACAAATTATAAAAAAAAATCAAAATACAACTTTTAATCTCTCTATTTAATATTTTAATTTATAAATACAATATTAATATATTATTATTAATAAAAAATATTATATCAGAATAGTAAAGTAAATTTTTTTTTCTTTCTTTGTAATTTTTTTCTCATTATTTAATATTTTAATTTATAAATATCAATATTTTTATGTATCAATAAAAATATTTAAAATTCTATTATTTGGTGCATAGATATATCAAATAAAATATAAATAAATTATCCAATATATCGATTATTAGTACAAAACCAAAAATTATTTTATATTATTTTAGAAAAATACTTATTAGTAAGAAAAAATGAAAAAGAAAAAAATAAATATATTTCAACCATTCATTATCACCTCTACTCCATGATTTTTATTAAAAAAAATTTTATAATAAATTGGAAATTATCCTATAAAACAATGACACGTATATATTCTTGCGTTTCTTATTCAAATTATTTTTTACTAAATCGCATTATTCATTATTTTATACTATTTAGTATTTAATACTATAAAATATATTTTGTAAATCAAATAAACCCTTAAAGTCTAGCACATATGATCTGTAAATAGAAGAGAAGAAAAAGTAGAGAGAAACATGTTACTCCATTATTAAAATAAAATATGGCGTGTAGACTAATCTGATAGACCAATTTGAAGAGATGAACTCAAACCAAAACACAAGAAAGTGGGTTTATTTATTATCATGCTAAGATTCTTGAACAGGTTTATCTGTGCGACAGACTTTGATTAAAATAGAGTTTAATGCATGTTTATTTTAACTAGTCAATTCCATCAACATCGATCTTATCTAGAATGTACAACAACTCCTATGATATTGTCTGTTGTTGGAAGTGCTATTAATAATTCATTTCAAACAAAATCAAAGGTAAAAACCTGTTGCCAACTAACCAACAGTTTTTCCTCAACCCGGGGATGCTTCCAATTTCTTTAACTCCTTTCATGTCACTCTTACTCTTAACACGGCCTATTTACGAAATACTAGAGTAACTTTACTGCAGGGCTGTTAAACTAAAATTTTGTATAGCTTAGGTTAGTAATAAAAAATTTGCATTATAGTAGAGTTGACATGACATTTAAGTGAACTAAAATTTAGTTCTCATTATCTATATAGTTAACGTTAACTATATGAAATATATTATAATATTATTTATTTAATTAATAAAATATTCCAATAACATTAAAATAATGACATGATATTTAAAAATAGTGGGGTCAAATTTTGGTTTCTCATAGACAACCGTCGTTAAAGTAAAAACTATTTAAATCAACTATTTAA